ACTGAACACCTATGATCAACATCAATTTTTTTAGTTCGCTTGTTGATGTTGAAGGCATGGTGCCACTCTTATGCACTTATGAAAAAAAACACTATTTAATGTTAATACTACCATTTACGCTGTTGTTGCTTAGCTAAGCTAAGCTAACCAACAGGCTTGAGTCAATGATTTGCCTTCATTTATGCAGGCTCTAATATCAAGCGTGTGATTAGCTAGATCCTATTGGCTGCTGCGCAGAGGATAATCTGAATCAATGGGCGATTCCCAATATGCGATTCTTCTCTTGCTCTTAACGTATGATCAATTCTGCAGATCATCTTCACTGTTGACTTTGGCGTTCAGCTTGACGTACACGGTATTTATTGTTTTTTTACCTGACATAGACAAAAATTTTTTGAAAATCATTTACAGTTGAGCGACAAACCGTTAACAGCATCCAAATCAGCATCAAACATCAAAATAATCGTCGTAAAATATGGATTATCGCTCCCTTGGCATTTTGGTGTTACCATCGTGGATTTGAATCCATTGAGATCTTCTAAGCTGCTGTGTAGGCCCATTAATTTTATCTGTATAAGTTTGACAGGTTTGCTTGTCATGACATAGGTTGCTTGTCTTGGTGTACCGTTGAAAATATAATTTCTCACCTAACCCATTGCTAAGTGTTGCGTTTGGCAAAAATGGTACCAATATCCATCTGAAGTGGCGCTGAAAAGGCGCCTAAAAGAATCTGTCTATGATACTATTATTTGAGCAGGATTTTTTTGGGTGTTTGCGATAAGGTAGCTTTGTTCTACTTCAATTGACCCATAGGCGAATTGATAGCTATGCTGACGTGCTAGCTGGACGTTCGGATGAACGGCTAAATGTAGAAAGTGCACATTTTGAGAAAGCTGAATGGGAGAACGGAAACCGTCACATTACATATTTATGTGCGGTCATTCCAGCGTATTTATAGATTTACATGCTGCCTTGCTTTGAATTTTTATCTGAACATCTACCATAAATATACGAATAGGACAAAAAAACAGTCACTGTTCTGCTCTGACATTAAGGCCCCTCCCCTCCCTCTTTTGCCTACTTGAAAACGTCGCCAACGACAACAATGAAGTAATTACCATAATGATGTTGCGTCTGATATTAGTCAGCAATCAAATCATAATGGTGGAATTTTTTGCATTTGTTTCTGTGAACTCCACACCGTCGTCCATGTCCTGGCAAACTGCATTTCGTAACTTTCGTCTCATCTGCCCTCCCGGCTCAGTTGGACTACCACCGAATTTGTCTCTTGTGCAATCCGTTCTTTGCGATTGACGAGGCCGAGCTTAAGTAACAAGTTTTGTTCTCTTTTTACTTAGGTGTTCGTCGGTAATGATTTCGTACCGGTTGGATATTTGGTAAAAAAAACCCGTTCCAGAAGAGCTCAAACGACCGCTGTTTTTTGCGCGTTGCCGGTGAAAACTATCTAGGCAATTACTTCTCTATGTGTTTCGATATATATTTTCTAGTACTTCATGAATGACTAGCAGCATCATCAGCGACAGCGTCAATAGCGGCAGCGTTGCATTAATTTTATCTATCACTTCGGTACTGTTGGGTGGTAGCACCCCTGGAGTTCGCAGTGCTACTTCCGTTCCGTGCTGCAGTGGATGCTGTGACTGCTTTGCCGTTTTGTATATACAGATACCCCTTAGCATTAAGCAGTCGATTAAACAAGTGATGTTTAACAAACGCTTGCCGTCCAATGTATGCATTCATGTGTTTTATTATTTTGACAAACTTCTGAATGGGCATAGATATGGTATAAATATTGGCGGGTTCTGTGGGTGGAACAAACGTGGGTGGGTCTTGCAAGGGGGGGAACGCAATCGAACGCGATTAAGGAAGGGTTGAGCCGCTGCAGCAAAAAAAGGACCGCGGTAGATAGTTGACGCTTTCTGTTGCTGTCGGTAACGCTGACGCGCAGCACCGATTACAATCGACGCACACATAGTTATTGCAACATTGGAAAACAAAGGAGACAGAGTACTTCTATCGTCGTTTGGTTGAAAACATCCAAAAACTTTTGCCGAACTTTCTGGCGGCAGCACATATGACAGACGATTACTACTGACCGGGCCTGTGAACAGACAATCGATGCAAAATAAGAGTAACCGGCGTCACCCTTCAGGGTCTTTCTAAGTTATCTAAATGAAGTGTAAACGTTTTGAGTATGTATGCCTTATTTTGTCTATGCATACCCATTTAAACTGCCACTGCTGATCTTAATGGCTTTATTAGTATTGAGTTTTGAGACTGAATCGGTTTCTTTTCGTCACATAACCCCTTGCGGCTACATATTTGCTTATAAGACGGATAACTTGATACGTATAAAGTTCGATAAAGTTTGAAAACGATATCACTTGCCCGGGTTCGCGCCGGAGTTAATTAGCAGCAACGGCAGCAGGACACTGGATAGGAAAGAGTCGCGTACGTTAATAATTGCTATCAGAGTCGGCATTTGAAACACTCCGATAACGGCCGTAATCAAAAGTGGCCAGCAACAGTTACGCAGCCATACTTTGAATACAGGTATGCCCTGATGCACACACACAACGAGACATAGCCTTGCAGCTGAATGTCTTGGCCATCGATAATAACCTAAATAGTAACACACAGAGGGTAAATGACAACGCAGGCCGGCAGTAATTGTTGCTTTAAACAAGATATTTACACATACACAACTGAATAGCTGAATATACGTGCTGAATGCTGATATCTACTTAATCCAAATATATTTTACGTATGCGGAAATATCGTATCGTTTCAAAATCTAGTTCAGGTAACGCCGCAATTTATATGCCACCCGAACAAGCAGAGAGCCTCTCGGAAACATCTTTTGTTTTCGCGACGTTTCCATTCTGAGCACTTTAGTGAACCTTGATGGTTGAAAAGATTATCGATTTTTGCATTTTTCTTTTTACTTCTGGTAGGATAAAAGAAGTCTTTTTCTTCTTCTAGTGCAGTGTGCTACCGTTATCAACAGCAACAGCGCCACCACCGGTGTTGTGTGCCTAAGAACAACCTACGCATGGCCTGCTTCTGATAGGGACATTTTATTGTTGTCATCGTTGTCTCGTGAGTGATCATAATTAAACTAATTATATACTAATTCTGCATATGAGGACAGAGCTCAAGTTGTGCTTACCTTAGATATTGCATTTCTTTTAATGCAACCCTATACCCTACTTTGATTTAGCAACTATTGAGTATATTGTTTTAACTTGAACGATTTTAGGCAGGCAATTTCTCTACGAGAAATTATAGCTGGTATTGCGACACGTTGTTCCATCTCTTGCTAGATATCTATGAAAAGCGTTAGCGATAAATTATTATTACACGTATGGCCTTTTTTCCAGTCGAGGTCAGTATCTGATCGACGAACCTTACAATTGTTGTTGACTACATTAAAACAATGAATATGTAATCTACGCCAGTTTCAATAAAAAAAAAAATGTTTTCGATTTAGCCCGTCCACTCTGCACTGACGTTCACGATTCGCTATAATAGACCTGACGGGGCGCAACGAGGTTTCGGCGTGACGCTATCATATATAATTCATATAACTTGCTTCGGTGTATAGCATTATATTTGGCCAGACGTTCGCGTCAATGTGTATCTATGTAAGAAAATAATGTCAATTTGGCGTAGGTCGCAATATTAGCAGGAAAAATAATGAACAGAATCTTCGATCATAATAAGATACTAAATGCTGAAGGTGAAATGGGCCCTCGCCCAGTTAGTCGTACACGTATTCACCGTTTAACAGACGGAGCGGATATAGTTTCCACGAGACCCGAAATCGTCATTCAATCAAAGCACTGTAATTAGTACCTTTTTTTTTGTTGCATGTTTTGCGTATTACACAATACGCCAAGCACGGCTTCGCGATTCGAAGCGCTTGGCTGCAAGAGCGGATTGGCAAGGGTTTACGTGTATCTAACAGTAATTAAACTTGAGAAATTATAGGAGAGCTGACTCTTCGCACTTTTGTTGTCGTTGTTGTGGCGGTGGTGTTATGGCAAAATTTCTGGTAATGTTGCCATCAATTTTTCTCCAGTCCCCCAGCAACGATAAACACCGTTGAAGGGAACTATGATATCCATGTCTACGGGTGTTTGGTTGACACGGTATTGTTGCGATCCGAATCGCGGTAAATTAAATCATTAAAAACGACTGCAATAATTTCCTGCCGATACGAATTTTTAGCTGATTGTACCCCCATTGGGGCGGGCGAAGCCGCTAGCCACCAGCAGTTTTATTGTTCACCTCGCGTAGAGAACGGCAGAAACAACGTTGTATGATGTGCCTATTATATGATGGCGATAATATGTTTGAAATGTATTTTCTTGTACCAATGTTTTTAAGGAGACGATCACCATGGGAGATATATCCTACTAATTCGTTCGATAGCGCCTAACCCTAGGTAGCTCTAATATAACAGATAATTGTCTAGTCAATAACGTTAGCCTTCTATTGGGATAACAGGTTTATAGAATTGTTTATGAAAGGTTTTACACATTTAAGCTGAGCGCGCGACCTTCCTTAATATCGATCTTCAAATTAAATTGGACTAATAAAGTTCCAAGTACATACACAGGTCGAATATTATCTGATGCAATTACGTACTACTGCGTTGTCCATTAAACAGCGCTAAGAATGTTCCTTCATGGCAATGTGTTGGACCATTTTTAGGCCTACAGGCTCAATAGGTTAAGAGAAATGCCTAACAATCGTTTGGACAACAGCAACAACAACAAAAATCTGGGGTAAACTAAGAACCCCACCCAACGTTTTCTCCGACAATTTCTCCCTTGCCCCGCCGTTGTCGGCCGCTTGACTCGGAGCAGACCCTTTCCACTGCGCGCCACGCGTTGCCCGTCCCCTTTAAGGCAGAAGCAACAGCAATGGCTGTTTCTCCGGCGATAACTAGCGCTGACTGACGCTATAGCACGATCGCTGTCCAAGTGTTCGACACTCTGTACGTCTGTCTGACTGCAGCCACTGCGACCACAAAAACGGCTTCGTCCTAATTTGTACGACGGAGGCGGCAGCGACAACGTGAAGTACCATAAACAGGAGCAGCGTCCGCGAGTGCTGCTTGCACCACGGACTTGCCACATTGATCCATCGAACCCAGCCAACAATAAGCGACATCAATGGCATCACCGCAGCGACAGCGGGAGCTGCATTATTGTCAGGTCACCTGCTTCCTCTGACGGACGGTCGTCTCAAGTACTCAAACGAATATCTAGTAACACTAAACATGCACATTTAGCAGCTGCCTGAATTACTGATACTTCTATTGAGACTCGAAGAGAACAGGGCAGTCGGCACCGATCAGAAAAAAGCTGTCAGCAAACGTACGGATCTATCTGTGTTCGTGCTCTCAGAACGTCCGGTCAGGTGGTGGTTCTTTTCATCGTTCCCCTGGTGACTATCGGTGGTACGGTGGACCGTGCCACCTAGCGTTCGATACCCGCCTGCCCGCTCGCTCGTCTGCGCTTATCGAAAACAACTGATCTTCGTAGGAACGAACGCTGTGCGCACTCATCGACTCGTATCATTGGTAGTAGCTGTTTGCGGTTGGTGGTGGCAGCATCTTCGCTAAATCATGCTCCCAAAAAAGTCGTCCGCTGTCGACATCAACACATTTACCACCTGACAGACAGGTAGGCCTCTGCCTAAATGAACACATCCTTTTCAACTACCCCTAAGAACCCGCCGCAATGGTGTCAATGGAGAAAGGGCAGTTTGCCGACTAACTTGAATGAACTCTCTAAACGGAAAAGCTGTTATACGTTGAGCACCGGAGCCAAATATCTCGATCAACTACGCACTGTGCCTCTAACAGCATAACGAACAAGGATAGAGATAAACGCACACCTGTCGGAGTCGGATCCACTTGATCGGAACAGGTGAGAGATTGTCGCACCTGTTCTGTTATCAGCGGTACCGCCTTGACTCGAGTATATCGAATGAGTTCACTCAACCCTGATCCCTACCCAAATGATGCTAAATTTTTACCAGTCGAATAGCAGCGTTTGTCGTGAAGATCTCGTGTTGTGACAATCGGATCGAGAACGGTATAGCGCGCGAGGTGTCAGCAGCGCCATAACCTCTTTATTGAACCTAAACTTTTGAACCGTGCAAATGTCACAGCTTGCACACATCTGAATTACGCAAACGACACAGCAAATGTATTGAAGTTCGCGTAAAGCATATATAAAAATCTAGAAATTGTTTAAAGTGGCACGAAGTTTTCGAGGTTGTCCGTAAACGGTATTTCGCCGTCACCTCAAGACTGACATCTGTTCGCTGCTCATATGAGACGATACATCTTGACTGTTTCTTTATCATCCATCGTATTCAGGAGGCGGCTAAGGAATACTTCGTCGAGTCGTATGTGTTTGCTTCCAATGTTCAACAAGGTAATTTTTTACGTATACATAGACAATATTTGAGCGAGCAGGTGCAAAAGGTTATCTAAAAAGCTGTCCCAAAAAGGTTGCGTGTTTGATCGGCAAAATCGCTATTTACCTGACTCCGATGGCTTCGCAGAACGGAACAGCCCTGATTTCTTCGTTTTACGCGAATGATTTTGCCATCCATTGAAATCTACTTTATATAGTGCTGATTTATTGGAGACTCAATGCTAGAATTCCAGGAAGTTTGATTTAGTGTTACGTCTTCTCGAACTAAGTTGTGTCGGGAAAGATTTCTTTATATCCCCTAAGATATTAGCCGGCGTCTTCAATTATATATGTATGCAGAAGAATTACGCTATTTTCATAGGGTTTCACGTGCTCTTTTTTGCTTCGCTCAATGACAATTTAGCAAGCAAGCAAGCTGGCTGGTTGGTCCGCTAACCAGAAATTAATTAACCAACGGAATTATGCTATATAATTGATAGTCATCATTAGAGCTATACAAGTACAGCTTCGAGAGATACGGCGTAATTGCGTGTGTTGTATTTAGCATTGGATGTCACTGGGATTCTCAGCTGGCAAGCGAGGAAACAATATTATTGCCGTTTTATGCACGGCAGGTTGATTGAGGTACCCACTGAGTAATGTGCTTTGCTATATACTTTGTCGCGACGTGATAGACCTGTTTTGTTTATTCTAGAATGCCAAAGATCATAGCTGAACATGATAAGACACCGGCTAAGGGGTACTTGTCTATGCATTGACAGATGCGTTCTATATTTCAACATCTGTGAATAGATATGAGAACTTTGGTAAATACGATGAAGTTTTTCCCAATAAAACAGCAGCATCTGCACATTATTACCGCGATATAAACGCATATCTTGACGAGAATCTTCCAAGTAAGTGGGCTGGGCGCCAGGATATAGATATACCTAGAGAATTACCTGCCCATTCTGCAAACCTGACGGAAATACAGAACAGTCTCCGCCAGGAAACCGACTAAACTGGAAGGTTTGAAAGGCGCAGTTAAGTTAGTACATCAAACGCCCACCGTTACCAGCAGTACTGCACTGAGGAAAATAGTAGCCATTTTGAACAGCTATACATTTGATGTAGATTCTTTTTTGCAATTTAAATAGTAATTATATGTAACAAAGCTGAACGAAATCGTGTGTTAATTTTCTAGAGTACATATAATGATCAAACAATAACGGGTATTTTTGCTTGGTTCTATAGCACAATGAGGCCGAAGGTGCACGCGCTGTTAACCGTGCTTGTGCGGAGTAAGCGATAAGCATACCCAGATGGAACACGCAAATTCTCAATAGTACTCACTGTAATATGAATGTTATTTTGTTACAGCCCATACAACTAGGCTGGCGAAAATTGATCGAAGAGACTCCCGCGTATAGTATGCCTTCAGTTCTTCTTCGTGTTGTATAATAACCGAGTTGACGTGTAGATATTCTCTTATGCGAGAACCAAACTGGGCCGAAGAAGCTCGTTATCGACAGGCTTTGTTGCTGGGCTGAACTTTTCATTCATTTCTAGCTTATCTGCTCTCTCGACCCGTAATCCTGCTGCTAGTATTCGTGTAAGTATGTTCATATGACATACAGTATACCATTGGTACAATTATTAGATACACCTTTGAAAAGCCATGTATATATATAGATATATAGTCCTTCTACATAATTGCTCCCATATAGTGTACATCACATTTCCATGCATATATATGTATATATACTAGAACTAGAAAGTTAACACGAAAATTTTGACCTTCTAGGACAAGCTAGCAAATCCAAAGTGTAGCGTATTCTGCTGTTGCAGTTTTCATCTTTTGCCTCTTATCACATAGGCCGGAAAGCTCAGGCAGCACTACTGATTCTTTGCTAGGCGACTGCATGTGCCTGCGGGTAGCTGTCCTGTCCAGTGATAACGGCGTTGTCGTTGTATGTTGTGCCGACGTTTTTGTAGAAATATGATGCACCTTTTTCTTAGTACTTCGTCCTTCCATGGACCTCGTTTGTTTTGGTTACGGTAGACGTTATTGTGGAGCAGTCAGCTGATCTGGCGCTTGTGACCGTGACAGCCGGTAATGATCTTGTACTCGTAAGGCCACGGCTAGATATACAAGTACCTGTATCACCCAGATTTGCCTGCGCGTCTGTAAAGTGACCGTGGCTGCTGCTGAGAGACCAGCACTAAGAAACACGAGAAAAAAACAGAAGAGCAAGAAAAAGCGATAAACATATTTCACTCTAAAGAAATTCTCTCGTGAGCCCGCTGATACGATTCGTACGGCGCGGAGGCTGTACGGGACACTGAGATACCCACCACTGCTTCGGCTCAAACAAAGAGTCAGCGGCCAGCGGCTACAGGCGGCACTAATTAGATGATATTCCAGACTGCGGGGGCGACATCATCAGCTGTGTAACAACTACAATAATCGTATCGTGGGTTAAAACAAGGAGAGTGACAGAAGAAGTCACAACAACCAGGTCGCTAGAATAATTCTTCCACACTAGAACAATGGCTTACTGTGATATTGGAGCTCGCGGCTTATAGAGCTAGCTTGGTGGGATTATTTAGTGGGAATGGGCTTGAATATGGATATGCGCAGGGAAAGGATGAAAGGAAAAGCTAAGTTAACGGGATAAACCAACTGCCCGCTCAGCAACTCTTCTGGTCGATTGAAAGACACGAGTATTCTCACTAGTCGACAGCTCCAGTCTTTATGTGATCTAGTCAACAAATATGTTGATTGTGGATATAAGTAAAAAATTCAATACGGAATTTATACAGGGGGTAATGCTTTCTTACTTCAAAATTTGCTTTACGACTATTCCACGACCTTTGTTGAGTGTTATTTTAATGGCAGTTAGTTAATAAACAACATAGACTAAATAGAACACCTAAAACGTGGCCGTAATCAAAAGTGAATCAGGACAATTAATAAGTATGTGTTATATAGACCGAGGCTAATGGAAGCACTTCAAGCAGCGCTTTTCAAAGGTGTTCTTTGAAGCGGTGAGCCTGCAACAGGTTGTGCGTCTCAAGAAGAGGGCCCGACTGCATAGACTAATGGTTGCCGTGTGTGGTTAAGAGGATAGCGATAACTTTCTCACCCACTACTTAATTAGATGCTCAAAGCTACAGCTCAATTAGTGTCAAACGGAACTTCTACATTAACGGAAAATAGGCCAATGCTCCTGCTGAGCCATTTACCAGAAAGTAACAGTGATGTGAACCGGAAATTGTGCGTATATGGAGCTGGTAAGTCCACGAAAGACGACTTTTGTAAACATTGCTGTCCTAGTGCTTGCTAACTAATATAGATGAGCGATGTAAGATATGTAACTAAGCATGCCACCTCGGATCGAGGATAACTTTCGTTAAATATGGAACATTTTTAATGTCAATTATTAGCCTCGTGGGTCCTCTATGGAAAAGCACTGCTATATCGCATCCATAGGTATTCATTTGCTATCGCGTAGTTAAATATTCATCTTTTTTGGAAATATAAAAATCCACTGTGTATTAGTATGGCACATATCTCAATGCCAAAATGTTCAAAAAGTCTTCGAAGTTCCTGTAAACATTAGAACTCCATATCCCCCTTCTAATCGTATATGCAGGCTCTTATGGTCATGATCTGTTGCTGGTCGGAGCTAGGCAGATTCAACCTAGAGTAGAGAAAAAGTTTTGACCGTCGTAGAGATTAGGTGAAAGGCTTCAATCGCCATCGATATATTACTGAAAGGACAATAATTACAGAATCGATCGGGATTACCTGTTCGTGGGCTGTAGTATCCAGCAAACCCTCACGTCACTTTCATATTCTACGGGCGTGTTTCGTGGCCATCTTCGCCTGTCAGTATCGAGAGGAAATCAATGCAAAGACACTGACTAGTCTCCTGATCGGCTGAGTTTCTCGAATAGGCCAAATGTCTCAGGGATGTATGCCCTGCCGGCTCAGGCGGGACGGAGCACAATCCCCGGTAAGAAGGCACTGACTCCTGCCCCGAAAATTTTAATAATAATATTCCGCGTGCTATTCGCTACTAACAACAAAAAGGCGCAATAGAAATACAAAGACGGATGTTGAGGAGTGTTACGATTTATTGCTGCATGCGTGAAGCCAATGTTTACCTGTAAAGTAATGATGCCTAATGAACTTATTACTTCGCCGAAATGGATCAGATTTTCAGGTCATTAGTACAGCTGCGTACGATCTGAAGTGTTTGTTTTCCATAGGCTGTGTGTATATGCGTCGGTTTCCCTGGTGTGTGTCGACCGAGACTTTAAAATACACGTATATTAATTATCCTTAGATATAGAATAGACAGTTTGAGAACTTCAGAATATCAGCTATCTTACTTGAATACAATGGAATCATTTTGTCAAACTACGGCGATTCTCTATTACCTTTCGCGCAAATTTGCATCTCAACGACTACTCTTCATGGGTGCGGCAATCAGTGCCCTTTAAAGAGCTGCACTAAAGATATCGTGTCTTATTCTATTATATTTGAAAATTTCGTCAACTGTTTCAAGTTGCTAGAAAGTTCATTATTGGCTATGGCGATCAGCTGCGAGTGTCAACTGCTTATTCATGACGTGAGTCATCTTAATTTACCACTCGTCCGACAGGTGAAATAGGACAGATTTGTAGTTTTCAGGGCTCTGGACCCAGTGTCCCACTTACGCATAGTGAGAAAACTATCTGCTTAAAAAAGAAATTAATTGAAGGCTAAACTCTGATGCTTGTTTTTAAGCCAGCTGGTTCTTAGTTATACACTATTATATATTGTTATATTATATGCTACTAAGACCTCGAGAGTATTGATCAAAGCAAGGAAAAACTCATGTTGTCAGTGCCAATGGTGTTCATCAAAGCAATGCGTCGGCTACGAAAGAGCGTATTTGTTTTTGAACTTGCGCGCCAGTTTTTTCTTGCCAGGTCAGATCCGTTTCGTCTGCTGGGTTCGTCCCACGTTTCTTCCACAAGCGATCTAACAGGTTGGCTCTATGGACTGACCGCGCAGATTCTCGGTGCTTCTGCCCTTCGCATTAAGGCTCGAGTATGGCCCATTTTTGCCTTCGCTGACCCACGTTGCGCGGTTGATGTCCGTCTGGGGTACTGCGCGTAGCACGCCTCTAGCCATCCATCTGAGCAGAACAGAAGAATTAGATCACATAATAGCGCCCTTGCGTCATGTGTTTACTGGCGGTTCTGGCTTCTTTTGCGTATTCTCTAACATTCTTTTGAGAACGCCAAAAATAAACTCCGTATCATTTTGAACAGTTTTTTAATTAGTACAAACAAAGCCTTATTAATGCGATGTTTTTATTCAGTTAGAGGTAACCAAGTTTTTACATTCAGTCATCCTCTATCAAGTGATCAAATTTGCGTTAGAATCAACAGAGTTAATCAAAAATGGCGCAGCGATAAAACCAAAAACAAATATATATAAAGGCGGGTTGTTCATACTTTGGTGATAAATTATTAAAAGCTCAACATGTGCTTTTTGTTTCTCTTGTTTGCAACAAGAAATGCTTTTTGTTTCTGTGTTAAATATGAAAAAGTTCTCGCTTTCGCTTTAACAAGAGCTTGGGACTAACAACAGTGTTCGGAGAGAAAGAAGCCATGGAGCCATAAATTGCTGGGTCTGAATGAAACCAAAGTTCCGAAATGCACATACCATTTGAAATTAAACAAGTTTTTTGCTTACGTAACGGCCTAGATGCTGCAATAGCATCAGGCGGCCGTCTTTTTTTGACTATGGAATAAACAGTGACAGCACGGCCAACAATATTCAATTAAACTTGTGTGAGTTCACCTAACGCATCAAAGAACATTTATCCGACGAGATTTCAGTGTGACACTGCTAACTATATGGATCCGTAAAAGTGAGTCGCTTTTTCTACCTTCACCTATTGCCGTGTTCTCATAATCTTTGTGTACGGCTTACCGGCAGGCGCGTACACATCTCTTCTAAATGACCCATCTACCTTTTCATGATTGTTGTTGCCGCAAGCGTACTCAGCAGGAGTTTCTGATCTAACTTTATTACTAGTTTACTTACAACGCAATATGTATAGATTCAACACGAAGCAGCTTTGTTAAAGGCAATTTCCTGCTAAAAGGCAACTGTTAAGCTAGGCGAGGGCGTTCGTAATATTATAAATTTTATTTTTTTATTGTTTATTATATTTATTATCATATTATAAAAACAGTACTTATTAAGTACAATAAACGGGCAATGTCGCTCAGGGTAGTAAATTGAATGAATCGTAGAATGAGAAAAATTTTTGCCAGTACTGAAATCCTTCAGGGTAAACACCGCCTTCTTTTCAATAGAATTAGTTGTCTGCTTCGTAATATGGGTTAATTTTGAGCATAACAAACAGAATACGTCTGACAACATGCTATGATTAGCATGCGTAATGTAAAAAATTTACGTACGGTAGAATATAGAATTGCAAAAGTCATGGGATTGAGATTCGTTGAAACAATACTATACTTGTGTAACTTCATTTGAGTTAATGTTTTAATTTAATGTTTTTTTTTTTTTATTTCACTGGACTCATACACTAAGCATACATTCGATATTATCGGGCTGTATTTATTGCTTATACTGGTAAATAACCCAGGTGGGGTTTTGTTGTCACCGCTTCTTCGACACCCACCCATCTTTCTTGCCACTTAGTTGCTAGTTCACACGACCTTGACAATTTATACCAAGTTACCCACCGGGTGGTACTGTTGCTACCCACATTGTTATTGCTGTTTTCGTCATATACGCACTAGTGCTATAACCGCCTTCGTCGGCGTCTACCAAATCAAGATCCGAACCTAGGAAGCCAGCGTCTGACTATGGCCATGATACCATGTTAAATGCACAACAACGATAAATGGCAATTGGCTGCTGAGCGAGTTCAGTCGATGTTGCAGCTGTTGACGGCTCTGCGGGGCTTTTTAACAACGGATATTAGAGGCCTTAGGGCAACGATGCTGCCCTTTGTCTGTGCGTTTGTGTTGATTGTGTAAGACTCGAAAAAAATGGATACGCCTCATTGCCTGCTACGGGTTTGCGTGACCTCAGGCGGCGGGTCTGATACCTCGTTCTTAAGCATTCACAGCCTCTCATTACCTCCGTCTGTATCTGCTCATGTTTTTCTCTATATTTTTATGCGTAGGTTTAGTTAGATCTCTTCTCGGCGTCTTTTATCGAACACGAAGTGAATGTTCGAACTGAGAGCTTGCCTTCGCACCGCGCATCCGATTGCATGTGAAGGTATTTCTTGAGGAGAGAAAAACGTCGAAAAGACTTCTGGATTGTTCGGCCAGCCAGCCAGCCAGCCATGAATTGCATTGAAACAGTAGTGAATATAGCAGGAGTCGTTAGATAAACAGAGATCGCCCTTTCACCTGACTGGCTACTGGCCGATCGCTACCGATTTCCTTTTGTGCTATGAAAACGTTCGATAGCTATAACAGCGTTATATAAATAGTACGTAATTCGGTTTTTGCTGTTATTCACGATTACGTCAATCAGCTGACAGATCGGAAGACCGTTCGTCGCTCAGCAGATTGAACGTCGGCAGTGCAGGCGACTGAATTGACGAATAAACTGTTAAAAACACCCGTGTAATTTACGAAGCTGCCGTAATGCAAACGAGATTTCGCGGTTTATTATTGACTGCACTAGAACACGACGAAGTTCCTTAATTTAAAGCGTACGTAATGTAGTCATCTTGAGTCTATCAGTCTAAGACTACCCTTAGGACAGAAGTGTCTTCAGCTTAGTTCGATCTATTTTTGAGATTCTAGGAAAGGAACGGCCACAAGTGGCAAAAAAAAAGGATGAAAATTTGACCTTGAGAAGAAACAAGTGTAACGATTGACGAGGTTACGACGGGACATTACTTCCATTGACAGATTGTTCTAAATACTTCTGAAAGACAAGGATAAAGACTAAGCCTTTGCCATCCCATTATCCCAATGTATATGATCACGCACCTGTGTGACGTCAACTATGATACTGGAAACGCAGCTTTCCAGAGCCCGAAATTGACTGTGGAGTATTAGGTTCATTATGGTTGCAGAACAATCTCGCTATTAATATAGAATGCCTCACTGGAAAAAAACATTAATAGTGCGAAGGAAAGCAGCGCACATTGTACACCATGTACATGGAAAGCTAATTCCTCAGGTTCCTTAGGTTCACATTTTAGATTGTGGACCTAGTGTGGTTTGATGAAACTGAATAACCGTACATTGAATAATATTCGCTTATTCAGCTATAATAATAATGCCGAGATGCTCTTGAGGGATCCTCTAAAACTCGAGCCGCAATTTATCAAACCTACGAACTTAACCTAAACCGTACGCATGCTAAACTTGTGAGTGCATCTTCGTTACTACAGAGGATTTTTAGTATGAATCACAGATGCGTTTACTGAACAAATCTGTCTACGACTTGGATCTTCCGCTACCTCATTCATCATTGAGGTTACATACTTTCTTACTGTTTTGTGGGAAAATAATGTCACTGTGGATTTTCCCAGTTCTTTCCTTGTGATTTACTAGAAAAGCATTGATGTACAGCACCTTGTACATCTAGTGGTGTTTTACTACATGAGGAGTTAGGATTGTTTTCGTGATAAACAGGACGACTTAACCAAAATTACCGAGCGATAGTCGCCTGTGAAATCAACGCCAGTATCAAGTCTCTGGACGTATGGCAATCGTATTTAATACGCTGGTCACACAATTCGATGGATGGGAATTCTGATTGATATCATATCTTTGACATCAGTGGTCGTCAGTAAACAACGAAATAGATGAAGGCCACACGAACAAGACAAGTTCGTGTCTTGATTTGATCGAGTCTAGTTATGCAAAGAGGTCGCTACAATTTGCGCACACCGTGCTTACCCTATGGCTGGTCCTATATGAATTAGTACTCATAACAATTTTTGCCCGAATCACATCA